TCAGTGCACTTGGTCTCAGCAGTCAGATCAGGAGCTACGTTGCTCTGGGAAAGTCTGCAATCAGGGGCCTCTCCAAATTACTGAGAAGCAGTGATGTCAGTCTGAGGACAAAGTGTGCCTTAAGATTAAGGACATGATCTTTCAGTCACTTGCTTGGCGCCTGAGAAAGAGAATCTTCCTTTTTAGTTTATCTTCATCAGGAAGCTGTGCTGAAACCTGTCCATAGGTGACCGTTCTGGCATTTGGTACATGGTGGCCCAGCCGTTAGTATCACAGCACCCACAAGTTACTCTAGTTTAACAAAGTGACCAACAAGTGCTGTACTAATAAGAGTAAATGATAAATAAACAAGAGCATTTATACTTGAGCTATAACAACGTCAAAGTCAGTCCCTCAACACAGGCTGGTAGATAAGTGTGACATCTCTGACAGAAAACCAAAGACAAGCAGGCACTCTGGCCCCAGCTAAGACTTGTGCTGACACAGTAGGATGGGGCGCTGAGGGCTTTACCCTCCCGGTGGCTCCCAGAAGCCTTTCAGCTGGGATCCTGGTGGTTGGAATGTCGTGGGGAAAGTAAGTACCAGATAGCCATGGATGGCCAAGACAACAAACAGACGTTATCTTGCAAAAAGTGCAAGCAGAGTGCTCCTTGGAGGCAAGGATGGTAAAGCTTCATCTCACATACTTTCGGCATGTTGTTAGAAGGAGCCAGTCACCGGACATGAACACCATTCTTGGAAAAGTGGATGGACTGACAGAGTGACCGTGGCAATGCACTCAAGTGTGTCAGAGATTATGAGGATGGTACAGAATAGGACAGGGTTCAGATACATAGTTCAAAAGGTCGCTATGAGTTTTACTCAACAGTGCCTAGTAACAACAGTCAAAAGGAGGGGAAAATGTGAAACAGAATTTCAAATTCTTCTTGAAAACCAAGCTCACTGGATCCATTGAGGTCTGAAGGGGAATCAAAGTTCTGGAAACAGCTTTCAAGCTTTGTACCAAAGACATTCTATAAGTCCTCTTTAAAGTAAATAATTACCTCATTTAATGGACCAATTGGCAGCATCAGGATGGATGGTGAAGAGATTGAGACTGTTCAGTTTGCTTGCTTGCCACAGTCAACACTCTTGGCAACAGCAGCCAGGAAATTAAGACGTATTGCAATGAGCAAGTCTACTGTTAGGGAACTCTCCAAAATACTGAAGAGCAATGGTGTCTCTCTGGAGACTAAGGTGTGTCTGATACAGGCCATGGTCTTTGCAATCGTTATACGTCAGAGTTGGGCAAGGACTAGGGAGAATAGGAGAACTGATGCCTTTGAGCTGTGGTGCTGGAGAAGAGTATTGAGGATACCATGGACTGCTAAGAAAAAGAACAGGTTCACCCTGGAGAAGGTTAAACTGGGCAGCTCCTTGGAGGCAAGGATTCTGGGGCTCCGTCTAACATACTTTGGACATGTTGAGAGGAAAGACAGGTCCTTAGAGAGGGACATCATGCTTGGGAGGGTGGAGGGACAGCGCAGGAGGGGAAGACCCTCTATGAGGTAGATTAATTCAGTGACTGGGGTAATCGGGATGGGAGTGTCAGAGACAGTGTGACTGGCACAAGACAGAGTTTAGGGCTGTTGTACATAGGGTCACTATGAGTCGACCCGACGGAACATAACAACAACTACCACCCAACAAAACCAAAGTAGCCTACTAATTCTGACTCACAGAAACCTCATGTGACAGAACAGAATAGATTGTAGTCTTTAATATGGATTGAAGCTCAACATCAAGAAGACAAAAATTCTCACTGCTGGGTAAACTGACAGCACCATGATAGATGGGGAAGAAATTGAGGTTGTTAACAATTACAGCTTGCTCGGCTCCACCATCAATACTCTTCCCACAAGCAGTAAGGAACTTAAAAGATGAATTACATTGGGAATCTGCTGTTAATCAAGAGTTAATTCCTGGTTACAAGCTGAGGTTCTGAGCCTTCTTTGAAAGCTGCCCAACCTGGGCAGTTTTGCTCTGGTTTCCACAATCAGGAATTGTATCATAGACTAAGGTCAGTCAGCAGTAGGAGCTAGCAGTTGATGGCACAAATGAAGACTTGTACGCCAATGTTCACAGCAGCATTATTCAACATCACAAGAACAGGAAAACAGCCCTAATGTCCAACCACAAGTAAATGGATAGAGAAATTATGGTACATTCACATGATGGGATACTATGCAGCAGGTAGGAGCAATGATTTTGTAAATTACAACCTAACTTGGGAGGGACTGGAGAGCATTATTCTAAGTGAACTTGGTCCCATAAGGACAAATACATCATACAATCACTACTGTAGATAGTTATGAGGACCTAAGGGGAGTGAGGGTGGGAGCAGAGGGGTCAGGATGGGGGGGGAGTTAATTATAGGGACGCCCAAATTGATGGGTGGAGGGAGAGGTGCTAAAGGAAATGGGAAAGATCTGGTTTAAGTAAACCAGTCTAAGATTACAAAGGAGAGCTCATGAAAACTCACTGCCACTAAGCTGTTTCCAGAGTCACATTACCCCTTAGAGTTTGAAGGCTTTATTCCCAGGATGAGCCCCTAATCCACCTGCCCAGGGTTCCTGACGACCCTTGTCCACAGTGTGTCTTTTTAATGCAATCAGCAATTCCGTGTGTGACCATCCAGAATTATTTCCAAGTTTCTGGGTTTTCAAAATACGCTGTTGAACTGCAAGGGGCTCACAGCCGACTCTCCCGCTGTTCTGGGAGGCAGTAAATCACACGGGAGTGTGTAGTCCATGTTCTTCACAGAGGAGCTGGCTGGCCTTTGGGTTGGCGGCACATTTTACTGTAGTAGCAGCTTCAATGCCCAGCACTGGAGCAGCCGTTGGAAGGCCTGCTTCAGTCATTTTGACCAGTGTTGCTAAGGCTTATGCTCCCTCCCGCCCGTGCTGACCACACCCTGGACCTGCCCGGGGCCTGCACGCACACGCACACACACCCCACCCAGAAGTCAGGGGACACGGACACACACACACTGACCACACCCTGGGCCTGCACGCACACGCACACGCACCCCACCCAGAAGTCAGGGGACACGGACACACACACACTGACCACACCCTGGGCCTGCCCGGGGCCTGCACGCGCGCGCGCGCACACACACACACACACGTGTCAGGCAGAGGACTCCCGAGCGGGAGGGAACCTCGTGCAAGCCCCGGGCCCCATCTGTCGAGAAACGCAGTCTCTGCTTCCCTTCGGGGTCGGAATGGTCTGGACGACAGCTGACATTCTGGACCCGCGTAATAAAAGGCGTAGTAGGTGGATGCGAACCACGCGTCTCTCGGGCTGTTTCAGTCTCGCACTGTCGGCCGTAACATTTCCAGGAAACCACCGTGCTCCCCCAATTCCTACACCCTTTGTTCTCTTCCTTTTCCCACTTATGACGACAGCCCATCAGACACAGGTCCGCCGTGTGGGCTCCACGCACGATCTAGGCTGGTCCTTCTTGATGGGACAGATCCAGGTCTCTTTCCCGGTTTGGATACCCACGAAGCGGCGGGCCCGGGGCTGCTGTCGGTCACAGGAGCCGGGGCGAGGCGGGAAGAGCCCCGGGAAGTCGGCACCGGCAGCCCCGCCGCACGCCGGAACCCGCAGCACCGCAATCACGGCCACGGGCGGAGCGGCAGCCGGGGCGGGCTTCCGGGGCGGGCTTCCGGGGGCCCGCCCGATCTGCTTCCGGGTTACTGAGCGCCTGCTTCCGGGTTTCTGAGCCGCTGCGTCCGGGTCCCCACGGCGCCGCACTTCCGGGGGCGCGCTGCGTGCTGCGTCACGGCGTCGCGCGTCACGTGCCCCGGGAGCCGCTTTTGGCGCGAACGCTTGAATCGGCGGCGGAGGCGGAGCTGCCGGGAGCAGGGAGGGTCCTGGGCGTCTGCCCGTCCGCCGGCTGGCCGGAGCTGAGTCCCTGCAGCGGTCAGTGGCGGCGGGGCGGTGACAGCTCGGGGTCTCTGGGGTGCTGACCCCTGGCCGGGTGGGGGTGCTGACCCCTGCGAAGGGCAGACGGCCTTGTCCCCGCGCGGGGTGGGTGTCCCCGCGGACGGCGCCGAGGGCGGGGTGGACGACTGGCCCGGTGCGCGCGCGCTGTGTCCACCTCCTCCCGCCCCCCCGCTGACTGCGCGGGTCAGCGGGCCTTGACCGCCTGGCCCCGTGTTAACCGGGACCCCGCGCACCGGCAGCGGGGCAGGTGTGCGGGAGGAGCGGGGAGCTCGTCACCTGCCCTGGTGGCGCCGGGCTTAGGCGTTGCACTGCGAGCCCGAAAGGTCAGGGTGTGAGCCCAGCGGGGACCAGCGGCCGTCCTGTCCACGCGTGGCCGCCGTGCGGCAGAGTGGTCATCCATGGTGGCCACAGTTTAGTTCAGAATTTTCGAGAGCCCCCAGGCTGCCGTGGGTACGTGCTTGACTGCCAACCTGAAGGTGGGCGGTTTGAATCCCCTCCTGGGGAGAACACTTGGCGCTTTGCCTCCATCGGGAGCACAGCCTTGGGAACCTGCAGGAGCTGGACTCCACGTTGTGTGGTCACTGTGAGGTCGGGTGGCTTCAGACCCAGAGCCGACAAGTCAGAGCCAACCCAGCTCGTAGCTGACCCTGCAGTGGGTTCCAGGGCTCGGAGTCCCGGGGCGCCCGTCATCCTGCCGCAGCTGTCGGTGCATTTGAACCAGCAGGGAGGGTCAGCCTTGTGATAGAGCAGCTTTACAGACGGGGCAGAAGCGGCTTAAACTAGTTAGATCCTCTGCACCACTTGCACTTCTCCAGTGGCTGGTGGCCCCGTCCTGGGCAGGCAAGCCGGCTCACTGGAGATGGGCCTGCGTATCTGTTAGGGTAGGTGAGTGTAGCAGCACTTCTCATTCCTGAGTCACCTCCCAGGGCTGAATGCTTGTGTGAAGCCGCCTTCCGTCTTCTCTCTTCCAGAATTACTGAACAAGCGGTTGGAATAATACTGTACACAAAATGCCCGTTGGAGCCAAAGAAAGCTTTTTTGAGATCTTTAAGGTCCGGTGCAGCAAAGCAGGTATTGACAGATTTTATATATTTTATATCACTTGATGCACATGACACTAAAAATGTTCTCAAAAAAAAATATGCATGATTTGCTCAAATCTAATACTTCACATTTTTCTTTATCATTATTCCTTATGGGAACAGACATCCAGTTAAGGATGTCACCGCTGACAGTTAACAAAATGCTAACTGTGGATAACAGAAAGAATGTGCTCTTAAACATGAAAACAATCGTTAGGAAAGCATTCCTGTAGGTTAAGTGTTGAGGTGCTAACCAGAAGTTCAGCAGGTTCAACCCACCAGCTGCTCCCAGGGAGAAAGATGAGGCAGTCTCCACCCGCCAAGATTTCCAGCCCCAGACACCGTGAGTTGGAATCCGTTGGACAGCCCGGGGGAAGGAACCCTGGAAAACACCCAGTGATGAAGTGCTCAGCTGCTAGCTGCTAACCCAGAAGGTTAGCGGTTTGAAACCAGTCAGGGAAGAAGGCTGCAGCAGTGTGCTCCCGTAAAGATGATAGTCATGTAAGTTCTCTGTCCAGTAGCCTCACTGTGATTCAGAATCGACGGAAAATGGAAGTGTTCTGGTGATGCAGTGATTAAGACCTTGGCTCCTCGCTGAAAAGCTGATGGAACCCGCTCAGCGACTGAGTGAGAAAAGACCTGCTCGTGTTGAGATTACAGCCAAGAAACTGAATGGGGCAGTTCTGACTGTCACTTCCGAGTTGGCTGTACTGCGCCCACTAAACGACAACTTGCTGGTCACAGCGTCGATGATGTTCCTTTCAGTGGACGTTGCCAGGCCCCGTGACTCAGCACCCTTCTGTCTTCCAGGAATGGTGGACCCAGTGAGCTTTTGTTCTATGTGTGTCACAGCAGTAGAGATTGGAACTGACATCTTTAAATGTTACTAGTTCATTCAAAAATAAACCCCGCCTTCCACGCAAACTAACGGCCTTTTCCAGTACAAAAGCACTTTACATCTTTGCAGTTCTCTTCAGTGTCTGACGTAATAGAAGATTGTTGGATGCTTGCTTCTGTTTCTGCGTTGAATCTGTTACAGTAGTATGCTGTTTTGAGTGAAATATATGAAAATCCACCTTGGCACAGATACATAGTTAGAAAAAGACTATTTTAGTAGTCTCCAGTCATACACAACCGTACCTCATTTTCTTGTGTTTCTCAGATCATGTGTTTTTCACAATGTGGAGTTTAGAGAAGCCCTCCTTTGAGCAGATCTGCTGCTCTTATATTCACATAGCATATGCTCATTTTGTGTTTGTCATGTTTTGGTAATTCCTACAATACTTCAACTTTTTCAGTGTACTGTTACACACTTGAACCAGGCAGTGTTTCCTTGCTCTTAACAGCTGCCTCCTGGTCCAGGTATAGGTTGCACATGAGCACAATCAAGTGTTCTGGGACTCCCATTCTTCTCAAGATTGGCCACATTTTGTTAGGCACAAGTTAAATTCCTTTACATGGTCAGTAAAGCACAGACATTTCCTCCGGTGCTCTCTGCTTTCAGCTAAGATCCATCTAACGTTGGCTGTAATGTTTCTACTGCCACGGCCTTGTCTAAACCCAGCCTGCACTTCTGGCACCTCTCTATTGATGTACTTACTCCAGTCGTTTTTGGATAATCTCCAGCAAGATCTTGCTTGCATGTGAGATTGATATTGTTCGATAATTTTTAGTCTTACCAGATCACCTTTTTTTGGGATAGTAATAAATAGGGATTTCTTCCACTCAGTTGACCAGATTTCTTGGCACAACCTGGTGAGTGTGTCCAGGGCAGCATCTGTTTGTTGAAATATGTCAGTTGATATGCTGTCAATTCTTGAGGTCTTATTTTGTGCCAGTTCCTTCAGAACTGCTTAAACTTCCTCCTTCCTCACCATTGCCTCTTGATCATATGTTTTTTCATTAAATTCTTCCTTGTTAGCCAATTCTTTTTGGTACAGTGACTCTGTATACTACTTTCATCTTCTTTTGATGCTTCCTGGAGCATAAAACATTCTCCCCACAGCATCCTGAGTTATTGCAGCTCAAGGCTTGAATTTGTTCTTCATATCCTTCAGCTTAAGAAATGTTGCGTGAATTCATCCCTTTTGATTTTCCAAATCCAGCTCTTTGTACATTTCATAGTAATACTTTGTTTTGTCTTCCTGTACTTTCCTTTGAAATCTTCTGTTCAGCTCCTTAACTTCTTGATCTCTTCCCTTTGCTTTGGCTTCTCGCTGCTGTAGTGCAATATTCAGGGTCTCTTCTGACCTCCGTGTTGGTCTTTTTTCTTCCTGTATGCAAGGGATGCATCCTGTTTCTATACTTTTTCAATCTGTTTGCAGACAGATCATGCAGAAGGCTAGACTTCATGAGGAGGAATGTGGCTGCAAGATGGGAGGAAGACTCATCAACAGCCTGCATTATGCAGATGGTGCAAGCGTGCTTACTGAAACTGAGGAGAATCTGAGGCATTTGCTGCAGAAGGTCAAGGACTAAGGACTACAACCTTCAATATGGATTGAAGCTCAACATGAGAGAGATAAAGATTCTCACCATTGGGCAGTTGGCAGCATCATGATAGAAAAGAGATTGAGATTATTAGTTTCAACTTCCTTGGTTTCACAATCAACGTTCTTGGAATCAACAGCCAGGAACTCAAAAGACAAATTACATGGGGAAAATTTGCTGTCAAGGACCTCCCCAGAGTACTGAAAAGCAATGATGTCAGTCTAAGCTACACCTGATCCAAGCTATAGTTTTTGCAATGACTTGCTATACATCAGAGAGCTGGACAATGACTAAGGATGACAGAAGAAGAATCAAGGCCTTTGAGTTGTGCTGGAGAAGAGTATTGAACATACCACGGACTGCTAGGAGAACAAACAACAAAGAAAGAGAACACCCTCTCTGCCCTGAACAGGATGAAACCAGTCTGCTCCTTGGAGGCAAAGATTTTGAAGCTCCATCTCACATACATTGGGTATATTGCAAGGAGGGACCAGTCCTTGGAGGACATTATACTTGGAGAAGTGGAGGGAGAATGCAAGAGAGGAAGACCCTGGATGAAGTGGATTGACTCAGTGACTGGGACAATGGGGATAAGTGTGTCAGAGACAATGAGATTGGCTCAGGATAGAGCAGGTTCAGAGCAACTCAGTGACACATAACACAATAGACTGTAGTGTAAAGATAACTTTTATATGTACTGTTATGTTCTGTTGAGTCAGAACTGACCCATAGTTGACCTAGTGGGTTTTCAGAGGCAGTAAATTGCATGAGAGGAGATTGTACATCCTTCTCCTGCAGAGCAGCTGGTGGATTTGAACCACATGGCTTTGTTAGGTGCTGTAGAGTCGTAGACGATTCATAGCAACCCTATGAATGAAAGACCTGAGCACTTACAAGCACCAGGAAACCCTAAAGTTCTTGGGACCCTCTTTATTGTCACTGCTGTTTCATCACAGATGCCCAAAGAAGACCCTGGGATGCCTATTGGCTTTTGTCTGATACCCCATCAAAACTTGAATCATGTGATTGTCTCTTATGTTACAGTATAGAGTCAAATCAGATAAGTGAATTTTTCATACCTTTGTTTCATTTAATTCCTTGCAATTTTATGCCATGTCTTCACTGTATTTCCAGTGGTATATTAAAGTCTGTCTTAGACTTTGAATACATCTTGTATCCATAATTTTGTCATGTTATAGTTTGATTACGTAGAAAATCTGGTGTTGGAATGATACAGATCTTCCCTAAATTGGTTCATTGCAATAAATAGTTTTTAAAAATTAAATTCAAGGGGGAAATCACAGGGTCACACAGTTTGGTAGGTAGAGGTGGCAGGGTAAAGGAAATGGGAAAGATCCAGCGGGATCTGGAAATACAGGGTAATGGTGGACATATTCAATGGTGCTTAATTTTATGAAACATAATGAATGGAAATAATCATTTGAAACAGTGTGTATGAAGGATAATGTGAAACACAATGTACACAACGTTTATAAATAAGCCAATATAAAATATTTTTTTTTAGTTTATTTTATTTCATTATTTTTTGTGTGTACCATCAAATCAGATCTGACTGGTACAGGAGGTGATTTTTTCCTCCTTCTCCAGCAGAGCATCTGGTGGATTCGAACTGTGCACCTCTGAGTTTGCAGTTGCAGCTTCTTGCCACTAGGCCACCAGAGCTCGCTATAAAATATTTTTTTTAAATATACTAATGTCACTTTTAGTTCCACTAGATAAATCGTTTATGTAATTTAAAATATAAAAAAAATTAAAAATTTTTTTAAACTATCTGAGAAGCTGGATGCTATGAGGAGTATGGCATCAGCATTGGAGAGAAACTCACCAGTAAACTGCATTATGCAGATGATACAACCTTGCTTTCTACAAATGAGAAGGACTTGAAGTACTTGTTTCAGAGGATCAAGGAATGCAGCCTTCAATATGGATTGCATCTCAATGTCAAGAAAACAAAGATTCTTACCACTGGATCAATATATGATAGATGGAGAGGAGATTAAAACTGTCAACTACTTTATCTTACTTGGATCCACAATTAACACCCCTGGTGCCAGCAGTCAAGAAATAAGGAGACACATTGTACTGGGAAAATCTGCAGTTAGAGACCTTTCCAAATTATTGAGAAGTAGTGATGGCAGTTTTAGGACTAAGGTGCATCTGATTCAGGCCACAGTCTTTCCAGTTACTTGCTGTCCTTCTGAGAGCTGGACAGTGAAGAAGGATGACAGAAAAATAATTGATGCCTTTGAGCTGTAGTGTTGGAGAAGTGCACTGAACATCCCATGGACGGCCAAGAGAACAAACAGATATGTCTTGGAGAGGGTGCAGCCGGAGTGCTCTTTGGAGTCACCAATGATGAGGCTTCACCTCACATCCTTAGGGCATGTTGCTAGGAGGTGCTATTCCTTGGAGAATGACATGATGTTGGAAAGGGTGGAGGGTCGGCGAAGGAGAGGAAGACCCTCCACCAGGTGGATTAACACGGTAACTGCTGCAGTGGCCTCTTGTGTGCCCGGAAGTGTGAGGATGGCACAGGATAGAGCAGGTTTCAGATCTTTATAGGGTTACTACATGTCATTTTCAACTCAGTAGCACCTAACAGCAACAGATAAATCTTGTAGGATGGGAAGTTGTCCAATCATGAGTGAGACAGTAAGTTTACCATCATTTATGTTTATCTGAAAGTTCACATTTTACCATTGGCAAGCAGCACTATCTATTGTCTCCTCATTTCTTTCATTTTTGAGAAGCTGCTAAGTTACCCAAATCTGAAGAACTCATTTGATGATTTCCCATTTCAAGTAATGACATTCTGGTTGGACTCCTAAACTGAGTGGTTTTCTCAGCCACCGATAAGCTTCAGTATGTGTCAGGGTTGTGCATACTTCCCGTTTCATCACAGAATATTAAAAAAGACATGCCAAAAGGTAGTAGTGCTTTAATGAAATAGCTTTTTACTCTTATTAGCATAAACTAGCCTTTTCTGTTTAAATGCAAAAGCCCTGTAGCAAAGAGTGACGTGCCAGTGGGCACAGCCCCAGTGGAGGCACCAGCAGTCTGACTGGCTGTGTTTTCACAGCTTGGGGTGCACGTGCCTACATGTGCCAAATCACAGAGGCCTCAAGTTCTTGGGAAAATGGTGTTCACCTTGTGGACCCCCTGGGAGCGTCTCGGGGATTGGCCCCCAGTGTTCCACAAATCACTCTCTGGGAACCACTGCTCCACCGGCTCACTATCCAAAGCCGACATTTTATCGTCTCCCTCTGCCAGAATTGTCTTTTCTCTGCCTACTTGAGATTTAGAGTGCTGGTGGCCTAGTTGTAAGGAGTTGTGTAGCCAACCCAAAAACAGGCTGATCGAATCAACCAGCTGCTGCAAGGGAGGAAGAGGAGTAGGCTTCTCCCACACTGAATGCAGCCTCGGAACTCACTGGAGGGTCAGCTGTGAATGTTCCAACTTGACAACACATAACAACAATAGGAGTCTTCATGTTCCTTGTACCCACGACGTGCCACGCATATGAAGTCTTTACAGTTGTTTGAATTATATTGCAAATGTGCCACATTTATGAATTTCAATTGTTTGACTTTTTTATATGATACCGAGAGTGATCTTTAGTTCTGATTCTTCAATAGAAAGGTGTAGATAATAAATATACTAAAGGTTGTTACTAGTAGCCCTTTGTGAATTCATATTACGTCTTCAGCTTCATAGAATAGATTGCTGCTGTTATAGTGCGCTTTCAAGTCAGAATCGACCCATAGCTGACACTCCTGAGGCTTTTCAGAGGCAGTTACCTCTCACAAGAGAAGATGGCCCTTCTGCTGCAGAGCACCAGCAGATTCAGACTGCGCCTTCAGGATTGCAGGGCAGCTTCTTGCCACTATGCCACCAGAGCTCCTAGTAGATTAGAATAGTCAAATTAATATCTCATAAATGTAATTCACAATCAAATCTCAGGCTTTTTTTTTTAATTACTGGGTTGCATACACAAGCATTTATTTTAAAAGTAAAAGTCTTTATTCTGTAGGTTTATGGACGTTCCAGTGTCATGGATTAAAACTAAGGTGAAATTCTTATTTTTCTTACAGATTTAGGACCAGTCAGCCTTAATTGGTTTGAAGAACTCACTTCAGAAGCTCCACCATATAAACCTGAACCTACAGAAGAACTTGAATGTAAAGTCAATAGTTATGAACCAAGTCTCTTTAAGACACCGCAAAAGAAGCCCTATTATAATCAGTTGGCATCAACTCCAATCATATTCCAAGACCAAGGTATACCTCTGCTGCTTTATCAATGTCTTTGAAAATAGTTATGTAAATATAGATGCAGATCAAGTGAAACCATTGCTGTTGAAGCAATCCCAGCTCGTGGTGGCCCTGTTGCACAGAATGAAAGTGCACCATAAGACCTCCAAGGGTGTAATTTTTACAAAAGGAGACTGTCGCTTCTTTCTGCTTCAGAGTGACTGGAGGGTTTGAACTGCTAACCTCTTGTGTGCAATGGGACAGAACTCTGCCCAGTCTTGTGCCGTCCTCGTCATCTCTGCTGTTCTTAAGCTCATTCTGACAGTCACTGTCCAGTCCAGCTCTCAGTGTACGTCTTCCTTTCCTTCACTAACCCTCTCCTTTTTGAAGCATGCTATTGTACAGGTGGTGGTGGTTACATACAGTCCTATTGCTCACCTTTCCTGATTTTGGATAAACTCTTTCCCCTTGATTTCTTTGAAGACTGCATCTTGGTCTCTGTGTAGTTTTTACATGAACACATTTAAGGTTGTCTTGATTTTATTATCCCCACACATGCCTTGGCAAGGTCAGTTAAACACAAGCAAACCCCCTTCTCAGCTATAGCCAGGACCCATTTGCTGGCCAAGAGCTGTATCTTCTTCCATGTCCTTCTTCTGAACCAGCTTGAATTTCTGACGGTTTCTCTAGATATACTGTCACTGCCGTTGTTAAATTACCTTCGGCAGAGCTTGACGTGTGTGTAATATTAATGATAATGTTCAGTAATTTCCCCACTCTTGGATTCTCACCAGGTCCATGTGTGTAATCACAGTGTATGATTTCTAAAAAGTTGTTTGCAGTGAGTAAATCATTAATTGTATAGAATTCTGTCATGTGATCCTTTTTTTAAATTGGTGTTCTAGTTATGAATTAATGATTAATGCATCTTGATTGCATGTCCAATCAATTTCAGATGCAAAATGTACGAAAGTTCTCAGTTTCTTCATGTTTGACCTTGGTGATTGGTGCTTATATTAAATTTTTATGATTGTCTTTTTAGATTTTTCTTATTTTAATTGTGATTTTTAACAAAAGTTTACAGAGAAATTGTGTTTTCATTCATTCATTGTTGCACATTTCCCTCTCTTCTGCCTCCCCCGGTTGACTTTATTATTTTTTTTTTTGAATAGTCATTCACTGTTGCACAGTTTCTTTCCTTCCCCCCTCCTCACTTCTCCTCTCCTGTCCTCTTTGCAGTGTACCACTTATTCTGGACCATTGTCTTACATAATCCCTAATCGTATAGTCCTTTTAAACAGTTCTCTCCCTCATCTGTTCCAATACAGTGTTCATTATCTAGCCACTCTTCCTCTTCTCCTCCCAGCCCCCCATGTCAATCTTGCTTCATAATAGTGGTGTTATGCAGGATTTGTCCTTTTGAAACTGAGACATTTCATCAGCATAATGTCCTCCAGGTCACGCATGTTGTGTAATGTTTCATGAACTCATTATTTCTCAGTGATGCATAGTATTTCATTGTGTGAATATGCCGTAGTTTTTCTATCCATTTGTTTGTTGATGGGCACTTTTTCATCTCTTTGCTGTTGTGAATAATGCAGCAGTAAACATGGGTGTGCATACATCTTTTAGGATGTTGCTTGGGTCAAATACTGTCTCTGTTTCCAACTTGATGAGTAAGTGTGAAACCACCTTCTATGGTGGCTGCACCGTTTTACACTCCCAGCAGTGAATAAGAGTTCCAATGTCTGCACAGCTTCGCCAGCATTTGTTGTTTGCTGCTCTATTGAACTTTGCTATTATTTCTGGGGTCAGATAATACCTCATGGTTGTGTTTATTTGCATCTCTCTGAGAGCTAGGGATTTTGTACATTTCTTCATGTGTTTGTTGGCCATCTGAATGTCTTCTTTGATGAAGTGTCTATTCATGTTCTGTACCCATTTTATGACTGGGTTGTTTATTATTGAGGTGGTGGGGTAGTCTATGAATTTTAGATATGAGTCCATTATCAGATATGTCGTTGTTGTTGTTGTGTTGTTCTTGTGTACCATAGAATTGAAACTGACCCATAGCTCACCCTCCGGTGAGTTTTTAGAGGCAGTTAAACACATGGGAGGAGATTACCTGTCCTCCCGCAGAGCAGCTGGTAGATTTGAACCCCATGCCTTTGGGTTGCAGCACAGCTTCTTGCCTATTTTTCCCCAGTCTGTGAGTTTCCTTTTTACTCTGTTGGAGAAGTTTTTTATCAGCAGAGGGATTTGATTTTTTGAAAGGCTCATTCATCTATTTTGTTCTCTCCTGGTTCTAGGTGGTGCTTATGTTTGAATAACAGTTGTATTAATAGGCCTTTCTTGTATGTATGTGGATAGTATCCTATCACAACATTATACTTCACAATGGAGCTTGAAGTGTTCTTTTTTTACTGTGCATGTGATACAATTCCTCTTCAATTTGTCATTTCTAACATATAGATTATATGATTGTCTCATTCAGAATGGCATATACCAGTCTGTCTCAGCTTACTAAGACCTAGGATGCAGATTTTGACTCATTCCATTTCATTTTTCACAATTTCCAACTTTCCTAGATTAATATTTTACTCATTTCCATATTTCAATTATTTTTTTTATTATTATTATATTTTGTGTGTGTACCGTCAAATCAGGTCTGACTGGTACAGGAGGAGATTGCCCCTCCTTCTCCAGCAGAGCATCTGGTGGGTTAGAATTTTGTGCCTCTGTGATTGCAGTGCAGGTTCTTGCCACTAGGCCACCAGAACTCCCTTCCATATTCCAATTATTTCATCTGTAAAGAGTTAATAGTGCGGTTCAAATCCACCAGATGCTCTGCTGGAGAAGGAGGAACAATCTCCTCCTGTCAAATCAGATCTGATTTGACGGTACACACACACAAAATAATAAAAATTTAAAAAAAAAGAGTTAATAGTGAAAACAAGATTGGAGCTGGCTGTGGAAGGTACCGTCAGTTACTCAAGTACAAGCGCATGTTGAAGCTGAAGAAAATCAGAACAAGTTTACAAGAACCCAAGTACAACCTTGAGTCTATTCCAACTAAATTTTAAAAGCCATCTCAAGAATAAATTTGATGCAGTGAACACTACTAATGCTCAGTTGTGGGCGGTCATCATCAAGAACATCATCTGTGAAGAAAGCAGAAGGTCATTACATAGACAGGGGTAAAGAAAAGGCCAAAATAGATGTCAGAACAGACTCTGAAACTTGACCTAGAATGTAGAGTCTAAAACAAAGGAAAGGGATGCCAAAGTAAGAGAGGTAAACAGGGTTTCCAAGGACAGCACGAGAAAACAGTGTTAGTACAAAATGTGCAAAGACTGAAGTTAGCCAAAAAGGAAGAACTTATCATTTCTAAAACTGAGAGAATAGAAGAAAATTCAAGCCTCAAGTTGCAACACTGAAGTATTCTATTGGCAAAGTACTGAATGAATCAGGGAGCAATAGAAAAGATGGAAGGAATACGCAGAATGTCTATACCATAAGAATTGTTTGATGCTGAACCATCTCAGGAAGTAGCATATGATCAAGAACCAGTGGTAATGAAGGAAAAAATTCAAGCTGCTCTGGAGGCATTTACAAAAAAATAAGGTCCTAGGAATTGATGGAATACCAACAGAGGTGTTTCAGAAAACAGCCACAGCCCTAGATGTGCTCACCAATCTATCCCAAGAAATTTGGAAGACATCTGCCTTCTAGAAAAAGTCCGTTTGTTCCCATTCCAATAAAAGGTGCTCCAACCGAATGTGGAAATTACTAAACAACATCATTAATATCACCAGTAAAATCTTTTTTTTCTATAATTATATTTTATTAATTTT